TGTGTCTTTGCATTAGTGAACTAATTTACTTTTACCAATCAATGTTCCCTCATAATGTGTCACCTTCATGTAAGAGCTATATTTAACCATTCATTACTAAAATGCAAGAATAAAAAATATTATCCATTTAGAAAAAGAAATACATTTTCTATTTACCACGTGCAGTACCTTTAAGGCACTTTTGTGCAATTCAAATAAAAAAGACTACAATACAAAAAAAAAATATTTTCATGTTGATCAGATTAAAATTACCTTTTCGATACAATCGACAATGTACAGTATATAACACTATTACATATAAATATATGTACAGTAGTTGAAATATTGTAATTTTATTAAACTGACATATAAATTTGATATATAAAAAGGAAAGTACGATTTTGGCTATACCCTGTCTAAAAAAAATCGCTAACAAACTTAATTTCTGTTACATCCAATATATCACTTATTGTTTGAGTACATTTAGATATCCTCAATAAATATGAAATACCCCTTCTTTGCTCAAAATCGAGATAAACAACAATTGATTTTCCCTTCGCAATATCATTAATAAGCTTTTTGTAAATACGTGTCACTTTACAGTTTAAGAAATATCATCATTTTATGTAGCTTGATGCAGAGTTCTTTATAGGAATGAAAATGTCTCATTTTCCATGAATTGACAGTCTAGCATACCAGTTTATCTGCGGAATAAATAGCATGAAAGATCTTGACGCGACCCGTGCTACTTATAATTTTAATTTTATAAAGGTCAACATAAGTGAGTCCTGAGTGTAGATGTCTGGCGGTGACTATCACTAAGCCTTTCTAATTGTACAACTTTGTTCAGAACAGTTAATTCTTATTCAATGTTCTTTTAAGATTCAGAATTGTATTAAATTAACTTTAGGAATATACGGCAAGTTATCAATGAAACTTTACTATTGCTTGTGAATATCAGTGACATACACAGGTGTTGTATCACCGAACCTATAAGTTTTAAAAAGCCGTTCAATTATTTGTTGTTCACTTGACTGACATTTCGAAAATACCTGTACAACATTCAATTATTTATCTTTTTTATCATTTGTGTTATAAAAATAACGACTACATAAATGATGATAAAATTAAATAAGGTCTTAGATACAATCGTCGAAAATGGTACAAGGATGTACTGAAACTCGTTCAAGTGTAAATAAGAATACTTGAAAAGTGATAGGAAAAGTTATGTGTTCGGTAATACAGTAATTGAATATTTTAATGCTATTCAAGACAATAATTAGATTTCAAGTATATCTTGACATTTATTGACACAACTATAATACTGAAAAATCAATCATCAATTGTTCACAACTGTCATAAAAAATATTATTAAAAACTTGAATTTTGACTTTTCTTTAAATCCTAGGACAATGTTCATTTTGCTAAGCTGATGTCTTTAAAATATTTTGGCTCATCTTGTGTAAAATTAGTCAAAAAGCTTTTTAATGTGTATTTAATAGTTTCCAAAAAGAATATTGATGATAAATTGATAATTATTTTAGCTCTACCAAGCAGATTCCAAAATGCAAATACTGTGAAACATAAAATCATGCTTATTATTTCCCAATCTTTAAAAAAAAATTCTAATAAACTGAAATTTGGAATATCCAAAGCAATAAAGTTAGTTATTAATTAAGTTCATTCTGGTATCGTTACAGACATATGTGTCACAGTGTGTGTTGTTGTTGTTTTTTTTTTTTTTTTTTTTTTTTTTGTAGAGTACAATACATTTTTTCAATAATTTAGGAAGATTTCCCTGTTGAAAAACTTGTTTTTTCTAACTTTATCAGCAAAATTTCAAAAATGATGACCTAGACAATTTGTCTTCTCATCAAAGGTTGATAAAGGGCTTGTTTATTTCTGGCAGCAAAGAAGAAACAAGGTCATCTTCTGATGAAAATTTAACTGTTTTTACTTAGTTTTTTACAGAAAGTTATACAGGCTTCATGATCATGAATTAACACACAAGTCATATATTATAAAGTTATTTTATCAACCTTTTTTGTTTCACTCTTAACTTCAAAAATGTCCCAAAATAGCCTCAATGTTTTCCCAATAAAGGTCTTTTCTCAAATTAACTATATTTAGGCTCATATATTTTATGTACACACTGACACATTCTTCAGAATTTAACTGAACAACAGGATATTTGTTCTCATTTTATAAATTATTGAATTATTGTTTTAATTTTCTAAGGATAGGCTGATTTAATGTGATTGGAGGAATAAAAGATATTATTATGGGAAAAAGGCAATTCTTAACATTAATATTTTTATTCTATATGTACTCAAACAGATATACATTTTGTTTTTACAGTTACATGTACTTATGTCCATTTCTTTTATAATTATTATTTTGAATTTGTCTCTAAAATACTTCTTCTTCATACAATGTAAACTATGAAAGTAAATATATTTATGATTGAGCTCAGATGAATGAAAGCATTATTAAAGCATATTTAGCATTATACCTTGGAAACGGCCATGTGGAGATATTCAATATCTCATCCCCAGTGTTACTCTTGATATTTCTTAGATGGGGAGGGAGGGGGTTAACAAATAAGCAATAAATAGAGGGAGAGAGAGAGAAATTTAGACCATTATTCCATTGTTCAATGAGGATGTATTTTATTTATTAAAAAAATTATTCAGACTTTCAATGTAGATGAATATATTTTACAAAATTATAATAATTATCTTAACAATAGATAATAGGTAATAGGAAATGTAGCGTGTAACCAACGCTGAAAAGCCTTTGCTCTATCTCAATCCATGGAGATGTTGCAGCACTTTGAAATCAGTTTTGATAAAAAAAAACACTGGAATATAAATTGTTTTTGGCAATTTTGAGATGTCCCCCTGTTGCCATGGTAACAGGAAATTTAAGATTGAGCATGCTGTTACAGAGGCTCTGTTCCAGTCAATATTTGTTTCATCAGTATTGAAGCTTTTTTCATAGTTTCATAACAGTTTGAACTTGTAACAGGATGCTTTTCAATGAAAACGGCCACTTTTCACAATATGCTTATGTGGTAAAAGGTTAAGGACCCAATACTTACACAGTAAAGTTATACACACACACATAATAATTATATGTGTGTGTTGGGTCATACTTTTGGGGCCGAATAAATTGCTGTGCATAGTAGCAAAACAATAACAGAATCAATATTTCTTGCATAGCAGACTGGCGTTTCCGTGAGTTTTAACCATGCCGGAAATTTCATCTGGCATGGGGGGTGCCAGATGAGTCGCGTGACAAACAACAACGTCATTTTAGCGCCATTTATGAATGAACCGCGTTAAAATGACGTCGTTTTAGAAGGGAAATATGTCTTAGGATGACGTCATTTCGCCGTTGTTATTTAAGTTGTAAGTTCATACGCTATTGTTAGGAAATAGTTATGGATGAAATGACTTTAATTTCCATGAACATATATTATATTGAGGTAAACCATTTTAAATATGAAATAATATGGCAGAATATGCAAGAAAAAATATCTTTCATATGTTTGCGGTTCGGATCGAAATATCCGTCCCGAGGGGACCCGCCCATTGGGCGGTAACGAGGCTTATGTGGCTATTTTCTTTTGGGTGGCTAAAAAGAACAATAGAGAGAACAATAGAATAGCCACATAATTACTGTCCTGTGAGAACGTCCGTCTGTCCGACCGTACGTCACACTTTCGTGTCCGGTCCATAACTTTGTCAATTTGATGGAATGTGTCGTGTCCGGTCCATAGCTTTCTTATCTTTGAAGGGATTTCGTAAATACTTGCCACAATTGTTCACAATAATGAGACGCTGTGCCATGCGCAGCAACAGGTAACCTACCTTCAAGGTCAAGGTCACACTTGGAGGACAAATGTTAACATAGTCTATTACAGGGTATATTTTGTGTCCGGTCCATAACTTTTTCATTTATCAAAGGAATCTAAAATAACTTGACACAAATGTTTGTTATAATAAGAATATGTGTCATGTGCATCAACCAGGCCCCTACCTCTAGGGTCAAGGTCGCATTTGCTCATTCAAGGTCAACATTGTCTATTTGATGGTTTATGTTATGTCCGGTCCATAACTTTCGTATCTTTGAAGGAATTTTTAAATACTTGCCACAATTGTTCACAATAATAAGACAATGTGTTATGCGCAACAACCGGTCACCTACCTCCAAGGTCAAGGTCACACTTGGAGGTCAAAGATTAACATAGTCTTTAACAGGGTAATTTTGTGTCCAGTCCATAACTTTTTCATAGATCAAAGGATTTTGTAAAGACTTGCCACAAATAGTCACTATAATAAGACAATGTGTCTTGCGCAACACCTGCATCCCTACCTCCAAGGTCAAGGTCACACATAGAGGTCAAAGATTTACATAGTCTGTTGTAGGGTTTATTTTGTGTCCAGTCCATAACCTGGGAAAAATACTTTGCACAAATAATCACAATAACAAGATGATATGTCAGGCGCAAAACATGGGTCTCTACCTCCAAGGTCACACTTAAAGGTCAAGATTGACATAGTCTGTTATAGGATATAATTTGTGTCTGATCTATAACTTCTACATAGTTATAGGGATTTTGAAAATACTTGGCACAAATAGTAATATTAATAAGATGATATATTATGCACAACATCTGCACCCCTACCTCCAAGGTCAAGGTCACACTTAGAGGTCAAAGGTTAACATGGTATAATTTTAAATTCCGTGCTTCATTTTACTATTTTTTTCTTTAATACATTTATTGTTGCATTTGCAGATCTAGCATTGATCATAATTTTGGACTGAAAGTCCTGAAATCCATACCTCAATCTTTTAAAATAGCACAGTTTTATGCTTCATATAAAACTTCCCCGAGGCGGGGGGCGTTGGTAACTCTGTTACATACTCTTGTCTGCTTATTGTCCCTCTTTTGTGACTTTAAGGTTTTGAGTTTTTTTCTCTCATTCAGAATGGACATGGTGATGAAACTAAAAACATTTTCTATAATTTTTGTTTATATTATTGATCATTTGTACATGCATAACTCATAAACTGAAGAACCATTTCCCGGACAATTGTGTCCGATGGATGAATGTCTAAGTTCCGCTTTGCGATAGTAGAATCCTTCTGATCTAATACAATAATTTTATCCAAGAGTCCTTGAAACAGTGTTTGCATGATATGTGTAAAGATAAACCCGACGAAATCGTTTCGTTTAATTTTCCATAAACCTTCCTTAAATCTTCGATACGCATGGGGTAATTTTATGAACACTTTTATATTAGTCTTCATTTTAAGTATCCTCTTTAAACTTTTTTTTATTTCAGATATGTGTGCAGCAAAATGTTCGAATTTATATAATTGTATATGCGCGTACAAATGCAAAACGAGAAGAAGATCATCTGTATTCCTTGATTCTGATTCAATGACTTTTTCAAATGAAATACTTTTAAAAAAGGTGTAAAGATTTTTCATTTTAAAACCACACAATGGGATGTTATGTCCGAGAAAGATTATTGTCATGTTGTATTTGTAGAAGTTGCACCTTTGATATCTATGCCATCCCTGTCCAAGAGTGCAAGTAGCTTCAATTCCAGCCAGAAATTTGTTTTTTAAGTAAGTATACCACTGATAAAGTGTCGAGTCTCCCCAAAATAGTAAAGTCTTATTGCGGAAACACTCACCATGGAAGTGTCTAAAACCTGTTTAAATAAATCTATATTTTGTAAACCATATGATCTTTCAATTGTACTGTCAACTTTAAACTTTCACCGAATTTAATCTTAAGAAAAAAATATAGTATTATTTATAGCTTTATTGCCATACAACTTAATAGAAAAAAACATTCAAATACATTTTCAATGTAATAGAACATTGTGTTATCTATCTAATTAACAGAGAATTGCTCTTGAAAAAAAAAACATCACAATTGTTGTGAATAACATCAGCATTGTTTGCAAAATTTACATATTCTAATTGTGCTTTAATTTGATGTCTTACCTTTACAATGCAACATAATCCATTTGTTGTTGTAGTAATATCCAGTAGGTTTTACCTTGAACCATAATTTTGTTTTATTGTAATTTGAACAGGTGTTACTGGTTTCTATAAATGTAGTCCTGTTTACACCATTGATTGTATTTGGAAGTATTTGTAAAGTTATGTTAGACTGTATATGTGTATGACGATCCCTAGAAAATATGAAAACAGTCATGGTGAACGCGTCCTAAACTAATTTGAAATAATGCTACAAGTTAAAGTTTTTCTTTACAAAATGATTTTGTTCTCATTTTTTTTTCACAACTTATCAAACCTAACAAAACCAGAACTCTTTAATTTGATACAGGTATTCAACGTTTGTCAGACAAATTTTAAAATATTAAACTAGTGTATTAAAAACAATTACTTTGCATTTAAATCTTAAAAACACTATTCGATTATATATAATTGGTTTATATATTAGATTCTTAGAATATATTTATTTTAGATTAATTGTATAATCGTTCTTTACTTTTTGAAGTAGGTGTTAATTAAATTACCTTTTACTCAGTTCTTGTTCACATGTGTTCATTCCTTTAGTAAAATTATCCCAGTTACGGGTAATTGCTCTCCAATGGTCACACGAAAGCTGGTATTTTGGTTTCCCACAAAACCATTGTTGTGAATTGTTCCAATAGGAAAAATTGCACAGTTGTGTTTGTTTAGAATATTCTAGAACTGTTTCGTTATCGGGACCACATGTTGTTTTATCAGTATAGTTCTTGTACGAAAAAAATGCAAATATGTTGGAAAAATCCTACAATATCAACAAATAAGGTTTAAGAGACACACTTAAGTTATCAATAAACTAAATAAAGGTTAGTCTAGAAAATTAATGATATTTATGTTCTAAAGTGCATATAATAATAATTTGTTTTTTAGGAAATATATATCAATTTTGAGTGCATTGTTGTAAATTAATACACGGTTTGAGTTCAAATCGTAGTAACATAATCACGAAGGCCGATATGCCTGAGTGATTATTTACAAAGCATTTGAACGAAACACGTGCATTATTGTACGATAATTCACGACGAATTAATATCTAACTGTTACACTGTAACATATATTGTATTTACCTATTATGTAAATCACACCGACTTATCAACCGAGCATATTAAATATTGAAACTGCATATAGATTAAGTGAAATGTAATTTAAGGGATGTTACAGATTTTTTAATATACACTTAACAAATCTTATAACTATGCACGTATAAAAATCAAATTTTCTCAGATACTAATAATCATAGGTCTCTGAAATTTTAACCAAGTATAGTACAGATATGTGCAATGATGGGTATCGATTATTATGTCAGGGTGATTCGTATTTACTTAGAAATAGCGATGTGTGCAGGATTGCGCGAAAACCGAATTTTACATTTCTCTAAAATGCGTATTTATAATGGGTGCAAAAAGGTCTAGATCTCTTGATTTCACTAAAATATAAACATAAAACATAGGATCACCGATAGGGTATAATACTACAATGAATTCCAGGGCATTATGTCACTGTGATTTTAATATTTGCTTTATTGAATTTCAGTGAAGACTGGTTTATGTCGATCTCCGTAACGCGTTGTACCCAGTTACTAAAAGCAATGCAAACACGATATTTTCATTAATATGAAAGTACCAAGGAAATTAGTTTTTAGTTTTAAAGTAAAATCTTAGTCAATATGTTTATTTGAGAAAATATTATGCAAATTTATTTTCAAAATGGGCGCCCGAAATGCAAATTTCCTTGCGTAAAACTTCTAGACGGCCATTTTTCTTTCAATTGCAAACATTCTGCAATAAATTTATGTTTTTCGGATGTCTTTATTTTAATAGAATCCTTGATGGTCAATAATAACTTCATTTAGCGCCAACCTGTCATCCTCGCGTGCACTTTGTTGTTTGTGTCATGTCACGGATGAACGCACATAACAAAAATAACCGTTATTTCTGAATATAGCATTGTAAAGATAAATAATTCAAACGATGAATTCCAAAATGTGGGTAAAAAATGTCAAGTAATAAAAAAGTTTTTCACATTTAAAAACTGCACAGTTATAAGTTTTGTTAAGTGTATATTCCAAACACTGTGCATTACTCATTATATTGAATCGGGTTGCTAACTCACGTAAAGCCGACCTTATCAAACAAGAAATTTAATAGTTTGACCATAACCATGTGTCATTTTTATAGAAATAAAATAGTGTAAACAACGCAATTTATCGGACATTGTGTTTAAAACTATGCCGAAGTCGTGAATAAAAGTAACCTTAAATAATCGACAGGGAAACTACGACTCTTGAATGGCAATGTATATTTGTGAAAAAACAAATTGTCATAAAAAATAGACACGAAAAACATGTTGGTCACGATAAAGGCCTATTTATGATGGTAATGGAAAATAACACTTTAAACACAATAAACGTATCAATTTGTTTTGTTTACATTTCATGTAATATTTTCTCCTTTTTTTTAAAATTCGGGCGTGACCGATTTTTTTTATATGTTTTTTTTATATGTTTTTTTAATTTTTTTAATTTGCATTTTTTTCCAAAGATATCAACGAAATATTGTTTGTACTAAATTTAGATATACTTTTCATCATTGATGGTCTGCTGAGATATCACAGAAAAGATGTAAAAATAAAACCGGCCTAAAATAAATCATTTAGAGCCTCAATATTCGGGGATGCGATTAATCCCCCCGCATGCCAAGTTATGAAATAACAAAATAAACAAATGGGCATGGAAGTAAATAACGAACTAAATCAACAATGTTCACCTCACTTATTTACTTCAAAATGGAAAGTGTGTGTGTGTGTGTGATTAAGACCGGAAGGTTTTTTTTTAAAAACATTGTTTGTCCGGTAAACTGATTGTCCGTTAAATATGAAGGATCCCAGTAACCATAACTGCTACACACAATATTTTGTAAAGTTCATACTTGATTCCATTAAATGTACACCAGAAAATAATAATATTTAACTCGGAATCTTGTTTGCAATCAAATAAAAGAAGACACAGATATGTACACTTATTTTTACAAACATATGTAACATATGTAACATTGGAACTTACATGTTTTTGTCGAAATACGCTGCACTGAACTTAATCAAATATATAATAAAACAAAAATCAAAGATAGTAATGACAGGAATATTTGTATGATTGTTTCATATTCTTAAGCAAAACTGATGTACTTTAAATACAACAAACAATATTAAAAGATAAAGTTTGCCCCATAGAATTATGCATAATATGATTTGATGAATAATATAACGTTCCCCAACGAGTGATTATCGATAAATGATGCAAAACCGAAACTGAGTTTGATGTGTTTCCATTTTTTTTAACTGGAAGTGATGTAAATGGAGTATTTACCCCTTCAGCTATAGTCAATCAATATCATTAAGAAAAAAAAAAAAAAAAAAACATGCGATAATTTATTTATTTTTATCTGATTTTAAATTTGCAAAATTGATATCACTGTCCTTAGTAATTACTTGAAGGTATTCATACCCATGTTCTCCTTAAACGAAAGGCGGTAGTCATGGTTTCTTTTGAATATAAAACTTCTACTTCTAGCTGCGCCCGTCCTATCCACAACGCTTGTACAGTTACGGTGTATGTGCCATTATTATGATCCAAAATCGTACCAAGGGAATATGCACCAAGTAAGTCATTATATAAACGTGCCCGTAAATGATCCCCTCCTGTATACTTAGGTTTACCATATCCATTGTACAGTATTGCAGTAAAGTCAACATATTCTCCGAGAAAGACTGAACATCTTCCTGTTTGCGAATTAAATTGGTAATTATCTAATTATGTGTGTTTAGGTTATTCAAATACACATATTTTATATTTTTGTCAATTCAAACGGTGTATATGTTATCAAACACACTAATTTAAGATAGACAGTGTCGCCGTTATTTACATGAAAACTCTTAGAATAAAATAGTCGATATGTAAAAAGCAGTGTTTACAATGTTTCTTAACAATTGAATAATTTTACCTTTTACATATATAGCTGAGCGCACAGGATCAGCAGCTAACATAGCATCATGACATTGTTTATCCGTTCTGTATATTTGCAATATTTTTTTGAACGCATCATTACTTTTTAATCTGTCAACAAATAAAAGTTGTGAAAATAATTTCTGATTAGAACATATTTGACTTACGGTATGATTTATAAACAGATCAAAATGTATATACAGGAAATACAAAATCATTCAAATTCAATTTAAATATTTCGAAAAATTGCCAAAGTCAGTCATATCTGCACCAGAAATAATCACAACTTATATTCCTTATCCGGTTTATTTGATTTTAATGACACATACATATTTAATTTGAAAGATTATTTAACTTATTACATGATTGTTAATTGTATAAATGAAATATTGATTAAGCTGCATTACTCTCAGTTTGATTTGGATATCACATTGAAATGAAAATACTTACATAGATATTTCAGAATGGGAGTTTTTATCCAATGTCGGTATTTCAGTTGTATGTCCGAAGTTATTTCCCAGATATGTTACAGCTATGCATGTTATGAAACCAAACCATATGCATACCGATCTCCTGGTTAATCTGCAAAACGAAAGAAAGAAAGAAAAAAATGAATGAATGAAACAAAGAATGAAAGAAAGAAAAAAGGAAAGAAAAAAGAAAAGAAGACGCAAATGAAATAAAGAAATAACAATGATATTTCACGCAATGCCTAAATAAGCTAGTATCTTGCTAATACCGTCGCTCTGTGTATCATGTTTTGCTTAATATAGTATACGTGTATATGAAAGGACAATATTGTCACAAATAAAATAGAGAGAAGCGGAATCCCTTTAGAAAGTCTACGACAAAATTGGATATTTTGCAGGCTCGATTTCGATGGTATTGGAAAGTGCAAGTTACCCTTCACGCCTCTTAGCACTGGCTCAAGCAAAATGTAGCATTTTAACCCGAAAATGATGACATTTTGAATTATGAAACATCCGCAGATGTGTTCATACGGCGGTCATCATGGAACGTCCAACTTGACACAGAAGTGCCATTCCATGACAAGCGGAGTATGGTCCCCAAGTAAAATAACGTGTGTGCCCTAATAGAGAAAAAAAATGGGCGGAACTAAAAATGGTTTTTGTGCGGAGGTTATAAAGCCTTAAAAAGGAATACTATCCTTAAAATATCACATTAGTAGTAGAGTGTTTCTCTAGACTATAGTGTTTAAAAGTGAAAAATCTTATAAATAAATGGCCTTGCACATGTCATGTGGTCGATATTGTTGTTTCCTTATTAGTTACGAATATCGTTTTTTTTGTATCGTTTTGTCCTTGTACATAATACATACCTTCACTTACGGGGCCCATATATAAGACCGAGTTGAGTGGCATTGTTTCATGCAGTCAGTTTTTATATACGCCACTATGTAGGCATTAAATGAACATTTCCATACAACAGAACTAATGGGTACTAAGTTATATATATCAACTATATATTTGATTTTACCATAGGTGAAAACATATTGACCAATAACAGAAAACCCCATTAAAAATATATTTTCAATAATAAACATAAGATAATTTAAAATTTTAAAGGGCATTCGTCTGATCTATTCAAAATATATTTTTAGATATCTTATAATATAGTTTTAACAATCTTCTCAATTATTGCATGCATATGTTTACGAGGTGGATACGCTTTTTTATAGGTTTTATTTTTATTTTTACTGTTGGTGACCATGTACGAGTTACAGTATATTCAGCATTTATCAAAGGGATCGTGCTTTTTTAGATTCCTTTTTAATGTTTCAATCTCTTATACCTACTGGACAAGGAGAATTTGTTATTGAAAATATTAAAGTATATGTAAAACTGTCAAATAACAGACTTTGCTCTGTAGTAAATCGGTTTTAAAAAATGCAATTGAAAATACCCTCAAAACGATACAAAATAAATTACGCATAATTATGCCGATGAAACCGACTTCGAACCAGAATCATATTGTATTAGTCGTGCTCTTTTATGTTTGTTTAAGGTCTGACATATAATAAACGTATTTTTTATTTAAGATCTGCAGAATGTAAAACTCTGTTTATAGCTTTAGTTGATGTGGATTTAAGCTGGATCGGTCTCAAAGAGTTTAACCGTGACACCAAACTGTACAAATTAACATAAACTATACAAAATATGTATGTATAAAACAATTTATTTTAGTACTTTTACACGAATTTACGCATATGTTGTTAGGCCCTTCAGAAAGAAATCATGATTTAACCTTTTATCCAACTTTCACTGCTCTTTTGTACACCAACAAGACATACATTTTTTGAACAAAAACAATTTAAATTCTTTACAAAAAGCAGCTGTTGCAGACAAAATGACTTACGCTTTGTGATGATTTTTGTATACAAAACACTTTTTACAGCTGACATTTAATATCCATCAATAAATTTTAACGCTATATAAAAATGTATCAGTCAAATTAAAATGCAATGTGCATGCATTAAAAATAATATACGCAGAAAGTTTATTCAATTGCCAAATAAAAATCTTACCTGATCGATGTTAGTCCAGACATTTTAAAGTCACTTGTCAGGTTTACACCGGGAAATGCATTTTTATACTACCTTATAATTAGTGTATTTGGCTGTACACATTTTGTGTGCGGTATATACAATTAGATCCTATCAATTTTACATACCCATTTTTATAACTTACGTTAAACGTGCTGTGTGTACCGATTTATATATGAACAATATTTATATGTAAAATAAAAAAAATGAAATTAATGGAAAAAATAAACATTGCAGTGTAACTTGTTTTTCAGAGAATTTATTTTATTTATCTACATTATTTAACATTATGATAAAAGTAAATGTATCGCATGAAATAAATAAACACTGTATAAACAAAATGCTTGTTTGTAACGAAAAAAAAAAACATTTAATGTATATCTATCGATTTTCTTGTTTATGATAAAATTAAAAATACTCTTTGCGTCTATTGATCTTAAATTAATAAAAACATTTTTTTGTTTTTGAAACTCCACAAAGGAACACTGAACTTAATTTGGTCCTAGTATCGCTACATTAAAAAGATGACTGTTATAAAATTCAATTCGCATATTATCCATATGTAAAAGCGATAAAACTTCTTTTTTATTTTATATTAACCCGCCCCATTCAGTGCGCCCTATTTAATAACTTTAATAAATGTCATCATACAAAGACAGTAAGTAATTGATGTTTAACCCGTTACATTTAGTAAGCCTTATTTTTTAACTATAATAAATATAATCCTTAATGAAATTAAACCCGTCCCATTTAGTAAGCCCTATTTTTAAACTATAATAATTATCATTATACACAGACAGTAATTGATATTTTACCCGTTACATTTAGTAAGCCTTATTTTTCAACTAGAATAAATGTCATTCTTAATGATATTAATCCAGTCCCGTTTAGTAAGCCATATTTTTAGCTTATAATAAATGTCATCTTTTAAGAAGACTTTCTGAATGAATTACAGTCAGACACAGGATTCAAATTCGAAGATATGCGGACTATACTGTGTATATTACATCAATAATAGATTTTCTCGTAGAAACATGAAGGACCATTTAACACATTTTGATTTGCACTGCAGGAAATGAAATGACGATTTTATTCTATCTTAAAGTTGTTTTTTTAGTGAATGTAAAGGTACCCAATAGAAGGCTGTAAAGCAAAATATTGCCTTGTTATGTATAATGATCCCATGTAATGTGATTGATTGATACGATCAAAATATAAAGAAGACAAATACTGCTTCAAGTCATACATGTCTATTTTCTATATGGTGCCATATATAATTACACAGTTATATATCATTTTACAAAACGAGACAGTAGAAGTCACCTTCTCCGTCATTAGTCCAATCAAATTATGGTGGTGGTGGCGGCGGCGGTGGCGGTGACTTAAAGAAATATAATCTCTCCGCTAAAATATAAACGGAGATGTGTATTTTCTTATCATACTCTACTCTTTTCGCAGTGTCATAACTGTGTCTATACTTGAAGTAAAGCTCTAAAGGATTATCCACTGATGTAGATTAAAGTCTATGCCGCGAATTGTAGCGGTTCCATTGTTGAACTTTCTAATATCTAGGAATACATAATAAGCCTGATTGCACACTGTAGCATATAATTTGTCTTGACGATGAAACTGTTTAACGTACGTGCATACAGTTTGGTTCAAGTTTGGTTGTATGTCTTCATCGTTGGCACAATCAGAGTATAATACATGTCAAGACAATCACAATAATACCTACCTATTTGATAAAGAACAGCCTCCGGAATAAGTTTGCAAATCCAAATTTGTTGCAAACTCAACTACCCTTTTCAATATAGTTTCAATACAGAAAGTTAAATAAAACAGTAATTTGGATAAATATAGACGATTATTGGTCCTTTATATAAAGATGACACAATAATTAAACGATGGGTAAGCGTTCAAAGTGTGGCCTCCAAATGGTTTTTTTTTCAATTCTCCCACGATTTTTTAAGTGTCCCAGTAGGGTTTTAGTGGGGTTCAAACCCCCATTTTCATAAAATGGGAGAATAAAACCGTGGGAGGAAAAAAATGTTTTTTTTTTTTCTAAATATTTTTGCATGTGCTGAATATTTAATACTTATAATAAACTTATAAGTGTTCGTGGAATATATTTAAAGAAATTTGCAATTCTCCCATTGGCTGAACTAACCCATAAAGTAAATGGGAGAAATCTCCCAAAATTAAAATCGTGCGGAAATCTCCCAACATTAAAATGGGAGAAATCCCCCATTACAACGTTATTGAAGAAATACTCCATTAGAGCGTAATGGGAGAATAACAGTATGTTAGAATTCTTCCATATCATTTTTTTTATTTAACATATCGGGTCGGACGTTTAACAGTAAACGTTATTTTTCTACATTTTAATATTCGGTTCCGACCTTTTTTCAAATGAATACGGTCATATTATTAATTTATTCTTCTATTTATTTATGTATTTACTTATTTATTATTCTATTTATTTTTTTTTTATTTATTTGTTTATTTATTGATTTATTATTATTTATTTTTTTATTTTATTTATAAATTTATTTGTATTCATTTATTTGTTTATTTAATTATTTATTATCTATTTATTTATTAATCAATTAATTATAAATATATGCATATACTATTCATTCATTCATTCTTACGTTCATTCATTCATTCATTCATTCATTCATTCATTCATTCATTCATTCATTCATTCATTCATTCATTCATTCATTCATTCATTCATTCATGTTACAAACATCCAGTTAGTCTGATATATAATTAGAATATGTCTGAAATATTATGATTTTGAATGGAAGATTACCTTAAGTTTCATTGACTCTATGACAGTCACTGTACAGTGAAAGTTGAGAAAACCGGACGGCTTTCGGACCGAGGGTTTTGTCCGGTTTTCTCAACGGTCCGGTATTCTCAATATCCCCATTCAGCTATTCAGGATCCTATTAACCGAACAATGACTTACAAAGGATGCTAAACGTATATTTGCATTTTCATGATCATGAGTAAGTATAATGCTAAATAAAGAAATGATAAAAATACTATACAATATGTTTTGCTTTTGTCACATTATTGCATATAAATACAATAGAATTTTGGATTTAAGGTGACAACAGACACTTTCCGTGGTACTCACATAACTGTCATTTAAACAAAGTTATTTTAGTAATAATTGTTATTTATTTAATCTTTGTGCATTAAATGTCGTTGATCATCATAAAAAATAACATATTTGAAAACAAATGCCTTTGTAAATGATAGATTTTGAATAAAAATCCTAAAATTTTAAATCGTCATATCAAAGTCATTTTTTTTATTTTTTTGTCATCAAACTTTTGGAAAATAACCATACTTATATTATCTGGGGAACCGTGTCTCAAATTTTTTCTATCTTTTCTCAAAAAAAATATTACGTAACGTCAAACATTTTATGCGACTTTTTTCACCATACATATTACGTAATTAAAGATAATTAAGTCGCCTATTGAGCAAACAAAAATCCCTGACACGGTTCCCTCCGTAAATGAATTTCCTTTCATGTGCTTTAAACCGCATGTTAATTGCTTGATTATTAAAAAAGTTATGCCGATTCAAATTTAGTCCGACCCCGCATCAAACGAAGTGTCATAAATCGGCTGTTCTCTCTCGGACCCCTACGTTTCATGCTAAATAATTGCATAATACACAAATATCGCACAAGAGAGGGTCACAAGTTGCGGTAGTATACTCTAACAACATTTTATGACCAAGTGACATCTGACCAATTTAAAAGCTGCTGATTATTATCAATCTACAGCCGAAATTTCTTCAATTCTTAACGTGATTTACCGTCCGTCTGGTATCTGTCGCACATGTCACGTGACTATCGGTAAAATTTGAGGCACTCAGTGGGGGAAATGGAACGCATTTGCGCACCGCTAGCGGGGTATTTAATTGTTTCCTTTTTGAAGTTTATTATTATTATCATCAGCTTTATTGTTGTGTTATACCAGTGTCACTCTGCCTGTGTATTAGTGTATGAAATTCCGTTAAAATATAAAATAAAATAACAAAAAACTGAGCTTCTGACAGTCTTTTAAAGTCCATGGTAGATGTACAAATAAGAACGGGAAATTATATATTTTTTCCCACCTAATTGATAATGCTTCACATATTTTAATAGAAATAAAAGGTATTACTCGATCATTATGATCTGGCCTTCTTGACTTCTATTGTGAATATCATCTTTGCACGGCATAGAGATCCAGTTTGTATCGGGATAGACAATAAATTTCATACTTTGTCCCAGAATTATTAGTACTTATAGCGATAAAGTCCGATTACACCCGCATATGTTTATTTTTGGGTAATGGATAATGATTTAACGAATATAGTTTACTTTGTCTGTTTATAATAATGCCCCAATTGTAAATATTGCCTATACCATAATTGTCAGATAACGATTTTTAAAGTAGGTCTCGGCAAAGTTTCACTGTCTTTAATTAATTTAAATTTGTCACTTATAGACAGCTCTCGTCAAGTTCTTTTAGGCCATGGAATAGAACTTAGCGCTGATAAATGTCGTTTCCGTTTCGTTGTCATTTTGGGAAATTAATATACAAAAAGCAACGCAGTATAATAATACTCTATTTTTCATTCATACTGATTTTAACTTACAATTCCTCGTGCATTTTGGCATTATATACAACGGTAACATCTATACCTTACAATAAATGAAACTGTAAAAAGAGAGATATTTAACAAATCAGACAATCATTGTTCAGTTACCGCTCAGTTAGCGTATAAGACAAGTACTCAAGGTTATTCACACCTTCGTCATCCGGTATTGTCAAGGTAATTGTCTATATAATTGACTTTGTCGTCCCCTTTCAACCGTCCGATATTCGGTTTTTACAGATTTCGGGATTGTCAATGTTTAATACAATAGTTTAAAGAAGGGAAAATTTTGGACTGAACTATTCGTCCGGTGTTTAGAGAGTTCCAGTTTTCTCAGTGTGTGGTTTTCTCAAATTTCACTGTACATGAAATTTGGGCGGGGTGTGGTCAGTGCAGTTCTTATTTTCCAATTACCAAGGAAATAAAAGGAAGTATCCTACGGATAAAAACTTGATTGAATGGCAACATTAATGACTGGCAGGACTGGCAGGTCTGATTGCCCCCTAAAAGAATGTTGGCAACACTTGAACGGGTTAAAAACCAACCATCACAGGTCATACATTACGTATCATATTACACATCCTTTTGTTCCCGGAGATCAACTAAGTATTACCATTCATGATTTGGCTTTTTCATAACATCATAATTATATAAGTCACACACGCACACAATAATAATAAAAAAACACAGTTACAATGATAAAAAATATAGAAAGAAGCTTTTAGCATTTGGATCAGATTCCCATTTTCTATCGAATTCCGAGAAAAGTTTATAAAGGAACCATACACTTTATTTTGACTTGCATAATGGCCAAAAATACTTGTCATTTTGCTATTATTTTCTAATTGAATATAA